CCTCTGGTAGGTGGGATATCCCGGTCCCTGTTCAAGAAAACAGAGGCAAAGAAACTGTTAAAAATATCAGCTTTCTCATCTGGCGTAGCCACAAGGTTACCATTTGAGTCTTACAGGGGCCCTACATTGCCTGGTGCCCTCTTCTTGCTCCCAATGTACTTGAAAAAGGACTTTTTGTTGTCCTTAATCCTGGACACTAGCCTGAGTTCCATCTCTGCCTTGGCCTTCTTAATAGCCCTCCTATACTCATGGGCCAAGGAGTACTCCTCCTTAGTTATAGTACCTCCCTTCCACTGGTTGTACACCACCCTTGAATGCCTTTGCTGAGTCATGGGGGTTTCTGAGCACTCTTACCCCTTGCATAGCGATGTGCTATATGCCACCTTTGGTAAGTGACACCTAACACTTGTCTGTGCCCTGAGGGTGGCAGGGTCATCCCCAGGGGGCACAAATACAAGTGACCGCCCCAGGCACAGTGCTTTGGGGGCCCTGCAGACAGGTGGAGCGGACAGGGCAACTCCTCAGTGTCGCTGCCGGCCTCGCATTCGAACATTCACCAACTCCCCTCTCCTGCTGCCGCCTCGGCATGCGGGATCGGCTCTATGCGGGGGGGCTTAATTTGCCCAAGGCCCTGCACCAGCAGCATACCATGGGTCTCTGGGGGCCAGGGGAGAAGCCCCGGGTGCTGCCACCCTTGCTCCTGCAAGCCACTTTCTGCAGCAGTTTTGGCAGCGGGGGGGAGGGGGAGGCAAGCAGCATGGAGTTGTGGCACCCCCTTCACACCTGCCAATGGCATCCCCTTCGTGTCCATGCCAGGGCAGCCACACCACCTGCCGCCATCGGTACACCACTGCCCTGCACCCTGATAGGGTCATCTCTATGGGTGCGGGGGATGCATTGTTTAATTCAAATTACTGTAAACGGGGCTGGTGGAATTTTATGGGCATGAAGAAAGATATGTGAGGTGCACAAGAGGTACCAATACAAATTCCAATGCTCTTTCTATCCTCCCTCCCTCTGGTTTTTAGATCCCCTTCCACTGCTAGCTGCAGGCTGATTGATCCCTGTTGGTATGACAAGAGGCAGAAAGAAATGAAGAAAGAGAAGATGAAGAGGATGACAACACTTCCTTCAGGATTCTTTCAACAACTGAACTATTATGCATTATAATTACAGTTGATTTTCATCCTGACTTGAATAGACTTATAATATAATAACCAGTAATACTAGTAATAGGAGTCAATAATACTATTAATTCCAACAGTAATATATTAATAAGAGTTTGTAGTAATAGTAATATTAATGATAATTTATTAATGGTCAATAACAATTGTAATGGTTCAATTCCTTATCACATTTCAAAGCAGGTAGATCTGCCTTGTCTACCCTGCACACGTCACACACATCCTGGGCCTCCACCATATATATATAGCCAGTATATGATATAGACTTTTGTTATATAGACTTATAGTTTGACTCCTTATGATGAAAAAGCAGATAGTGAGCATAAGGGAGGACATTATGCGCCCTCCCTGCCGCTTTCCCCATGTCGGGGAAGAAATGCTGACCTCCTAGTTCAAGCTAGGTCCCTCTGTTCCCGTGGAGAAGAGATATATACCCTTCTACTTTACATACTACCCTTACTGAGCTTGTATTACTTCCTCCTCTTGGCTGCTGGCCACAAGTACTGCTGAGGCTTCTCTTCTGTGTACTACTTGAATTGTGGAGACTTTCTTCGCAGGCTTTGGCCCAACCATCAGCTTGAGTATGGTAAGAGTTGCACAAGTTCTGCCAATCCATTTCATATTATTCTAGCCTCCTCCTGGTTGCTGGCCCTTTTTGCTAATGAGCGTATTATGGACTTGTAATTAGAGGAGTGTTGCTGGCCTCAAATGCAGAGACTTTCTTCTTGGTTGCTGTTCAAGACCTCTAGCAAATTCCCTCCCCGGGTCCGGGTAATAGGCCCAGGCCTGCGACTCTTCGCCCCACTTGCCCACCTCTGCCTTACATCTCTCCATTGCACCCTTGTAACTTTCTGGTGAGCAATCTGCAGGGGGGGAGCGGGTTGCAGGCAGCTGGGGCACAGGTCTGCAAACCCAGTTCTGAAAGGTGCTGCATGCAGGATTTTGTAAAAAAAAATTACATTGCAAAGAAAGCATTGAAATGAAAATAATTTTTGCATCGCATCTCCCATAACAGTACATCCTGCAAAGAAAAAAACTCAGAAAAAAAAGAAGCTGTTTTGGAGTTGTGGCAGCAGGCCTTAACCCCAACCCCCCACCCCTTTCAATGACCATGCATATGAAATGCATTATAATGCATTAAAGACTTACTAAAGTCTTTAAAGTCTTGCTAAAGGCCCTGGGAGATCCATGCATGAAGAAGTTTTACAGATTGCCTGCTTGCCGCTGGGGGTGGCTGAGTTTGTTTAGTCTTTTTTCTTATAAGAAATGCTGGCTGCACTGCACCTTTTCTAGCACTTAACAATCATTCGACCTCCCTCCGATAACAGTCCACCCTGCAACTCTTTCCAGTAATGCCATGACTGGATAAAACACCCCCAAGCACAGCATCCCAACGCTGAGGCAGATGTGGTCTCCAAAAAACAACCAATCAACCAACCAACATTTTACAAAATGTAAAAACATTTTAAAAACCTGCAAATCTGAAGATATTTCACTCTACTCTCCTCTTCACTATCTTCATTCATTACTGAGCTGGATGTCACCCAAGCTGAGTTCTGCTCACAAGTTTTCTGCAAGGAGGGGGAAAAAAAAGAAAGAAGAGGAAGAGGAGTGGCGTGTGGAGCAGTCGAAAAACCGGACTTTTGCTCCTTCCCGCCACACACACAGACACAGGACATATTATCTAAATATCACCCGGGAAGCTGCGTATCCCCCACCGCCCCCCGGCTTGTCTTAGCAACCAGAATGACGCTCT